TTAATTAAAAAAAAAAAAAAAAAAAAAAAAAAAAACGCAGTGTTTTGTTTGAAAAAAGTAATGAATGAAATCACCAATAAAATGTGAAAATCTACTTTGAGTACTTTTGAAACAAAGTCAGGTATCTTCCTAATGAAATAAAACCAAGGGATACCTGTCTTACAGTTTAAAACGTTTTCAAAGTAATATTTGGCATGGCACCCATTTGATCACCGTCAAAAATACTGTCCGCGTACAAAAATAATCCTCGCCACTACGCAAACAAAATCCTCCAAAATACTCTTTCACGTCCCTCTCCCGTACGGCTGCTACGTTGATTATCCCCCCCCCCCCCTTTGCTTGTTCAAACCAGAGCCAAGAAGAAAATTGCGTCCAATAAGTATGTGTACATACATACACTCGAGGGCAACCATCATCGCACAACCACACACACACGCGCGCGCTCGAGCTCGACCTACTTTTTACTCTGTTTTATCTTACGTTTTCCCCCTGCGCTGTACCTCCCTCGCTCCACGGGGTAGTCCACCCTCGCACGAAAACGTTTTTCGTATTTGTTACACCTACACCCCCACGTATATGTATACATAGTCGGAGAAGCTCCTTTACTCCCCGGCTTTTTATTCCCGAGCCGGTGCAATTTTTCTTTTCCTCCCAATTCACTTTGTTTGCTCCGTGTTTCTCCCTCTCTCTCTCTCTCTCTCTGCCAGTGTTTTTTTTTTTTTTTTTTTTTTAGATTAGGACGAGCTTATTGTGTATGTCTATATGGGGTCACAGACAAGAGGAAAATCAAAGCACGTTGCTGCTGGCAGCGCTTTTGGTAAGCGCAGGACCAAATAAAAAAAAATAATAATAATAACAAATTCATGTACATATACGTGTTTTTCTTTCTGTGGGGGGGGGGTAAACTGTCAATCGATGGAGATTCAAATGTTGTTATATTGTATGAAAAAAAAAAAAAAAAAAAAAAAAAAAGGTTACCCGTAAGCGACGCGCACATGGTCCAAATGCCACCGTGCATGGGCACGAGGAAGCTGTTGCGTGTTTTGGACTTGTCGGGCGACGCGATTGCCTTGTGCCGGTCGTTGATCAGCGGCGAGTCACGCCTCGAGCCCGCCTCGAGGTGCCCGACCTTGCCGTCCAGGTACCACATCGGACTGATGTTGCTACGTTTCAGGGCCTCCTTGTCCCAGTAGAGCTCCTCCCAGTGGTCCGACATGATCGCCGCGCACAGTAGACCCGTCGCTGCAACCATTTATTTCTATATATGTATATATAGTTTTACTCTCGATTCGATAGGATGAGTCATAATTTTATTGTGATCGCCGCTTTTTGTTCTAGAAAATTGCACACGAAAAATACGTATTTTTTAATCATCAGCGAGATTTCGTGGATAAGAATCGCTTTTAAAGGGCAGCATGAAACAAATGTTGGTATATGTATATTATGTATAGTGCAGTGACATCGCGCTCGAGTTGAATTAAATTACCACAGCACCTGCATTTTGCATGTCGATTCTAATAATATTCAGTGTCGTTGAGCGTTACGGACTGTATAAGAGTCTAGTGGTGCATGTACCGGTACATAAGCACCCATTCGTTGAAATTATCCCAATAATTTTTACTTTTGCAAATAACGACTAAACTACATTATTGGAAAAAAAATCGGCGAAATAGCTGAAAAGTTCGTTTGAAGTGAAACATGTTACCAATAAACCCCGATGCTTGTGAAACGTAAAAAAAATTTAATTATGGATTAATTGATGACGCGCTGAAGTTTTGATGTATTTCAAGGGTTGTAAAAATAAAAACAAAGAGAACAAAAAAATGTAGATGATAATTATATCAGGCGAAAATTCAAAGTGTCTCGGGTGACCCTGTTTGAAACCGACAATCACGTTACTTATGCAAAACAGGTGGCGTAGAAATGCCTTCGCCCTTTCCTTGTGAGTAACATTATCAATCAATAAAATTTGATTTTTTTCATCGAATCGATCGACCAGCTCTTACGAGTAGAATCATTTTTACCATAAAAAAAAAAAAAACAACAACAACAAAATTAATACGCAATAACAAAGACTGCAGGTCGTGAATTACATTTTTGACAGATACATTATATCAATCGCTTGAAAAAAAAAAGAAAAAAAAATTGTGTTTAGTAGAAGTAATAAAATAGTCGATCGATTCGATTAGTGACCAACTCCAAAGACGTGATAAAAATGAAAATTTCTACTTTGCGTTTTAATCGAGCACTTGGAGAAAAAAAAAAAAAAAAAAAAACCTTGCACGGACAAACCGCTGACTAGATAAAAACACTCTTGCGCTGAATAATGCAAATCGCCGTTACTCGCAATTATATGAAACGACGCTCGACTCACCACACCATACAATATTAATTAACGCCGATCACAAATTCATTGAAGACGCGCTCCATTACACATGAAAAAAAATCCATTTACTTATAGTGACCTAAGAACTGTCACTATAATAATAAAAAAAAAAAAAAAAAAAAATCATTTGTTCATATTGTAAAAATATCTTACCGGCGCAGGTGAGACTGAGGGTGGCAAAGAGAAAGACTAGCCTGGGCGCGGGGCTCCTTACGGGTAGCCGGGAAGACTCCATGGCCGGGAGCTTCCAGCCCCGGGCCCCGGCCCCGAACCACCGGACCCGCAGACTTCTGCCTCTCTAAAAAACCTCTTCCTTCTCGACCCCCCCCCCCCCCCCCCAACGTATATTATATCCTCCACACCCCCACCTGTGTATTTACGCGATGGGTAGATATAACCGACCTCTTCTTCTCCTCTTGTCTATATATAATATGGGCACGCGATAACCTGCGATTCGCACTCGAGCTCCTACTCGCAGGGTATGGGGTGCGAGAAGTTTTTCATTTTTCGTTAACCCAATGGTACAAAAAATAACCCTTTACTTGCTGGATGTTAAACGAAAACGCGTTGCTCGTACGTATGTTTATGTGTACATGGGTTCCGCTCATCTGTGCACGCTGCGAGCGACTGCTTACCCTCCGACCGCTTTGGGTGCTTTCTGCTTCGTTTTAACCGCGCATCGCCACCCCCTCCCCTCCCCCCCCCACCCAATGTAATTCGGCCTTGTATTTTGTGTGATGGGCATCGCGGTTATCTATGTAAATAATGTGCAGTGCACGTATATCTATGCGGGACGTGCTTTTTCAGTTTTTTTTTATATTAGGTCCGACTTGCTTTTGGGCCCTGGCGCTATTTTCGATAATCCATATGTTAATTTAGAACGGGATTTAAGAAAAAAAAAAAAAATTCAAAAAAGCATTAATTTTTTGGGAATTTTGAAGCCCCAAATGGGAGCTTTGCAATGAAATGTCGTTTGGTATCTGCATACGTGATCGCCAGGTGCCTTAACTGTATGGTCATGCAGTCGCGATGGCACTGTGATTGTAGTAGCCTTGATTTGAATTTAAGGCTATAAAAAGTGACCATTCCAGAATACAACACACCTTTTTTTTTTTTTGTTTTCCCAAGTTTCCAAGAATCGATCACTTGGGCAAATTAATTAATTTGTCACGTGCAATTTAAAAGTGATAAAAGTTGGTATCGAATGCAACGTCTTTTACTTTTTCAAACTTTTTATTTTTCGATTCTTCCAAACTGCAAGAAAGAGGTTGCTCGACGTCGGATAAAAGTTTTATACCCCAATAGGTTTATTTTTCATCATAGCTCATAATTATGTGATTTATGAATCATGAGAATTTCACATTGGCCAAAACAGTGATGCGCTAATGAGTTTTACTTTCAACTTTCAATCCTCCTTAGCTTTGAACTTTTTGCGCGCGGAAATTACATAGGTGCTGCCCTCTACAGCTACTGACGAAAAATACAAATTGAGATATCTTCTGCTATGGTACCATTTCATGGTAAGTAATGAGAAAAACTGAAAAAAAGGAAAAAGCTCTCGATCTCTTCTCTTCGTCCATATATATCCATATACGTCCTATACTTCGATTATCAGTTCAGTGGGTCTCAGTTCTCAGTCCCTGTGGCAAACTACCTTTGAGTGCAGGATCTTCCCGGTAAAACATCCCGGTCTTCCGTCCCGTTCTTTCTTTCTACTCTCCTCCTGCTCTGTATATAATACTGTATATATAACTACATTCCATCGAGCACAGAACAGTATTATCGCGTTTCTCGTCCCGCGCGACTTCTAGACCATAACAGCTAGTCCTGCAATTTAATTGTCTCGACAAGTACAACATTTATTGGAAGAAGTTCATCTAAGACCGGCTAACAAGCATTATTAGGTGAACGAGGCTTTGGATACTATTGATTTGAAGGTAAGGATTTCATTATTACGATTAATCTCTGTACGGAATTCACGCGTCGGGTCTCCCGCTAATATAGTTTCCTTCATAAAATACACAACAGGTATACCCTTTTCGACTTATTTCCATGCTCCTTGAAAAAGTCCTCTCTCTTTGTCTCGCGTCGGCTCACTTTTATATCAATATTCATATACCCATACATATTTTACTTATATATATTTTGTTCGTCGTCCAAGTTCTTTCTTTTAAGGATAATTTTCCTCATATACCGGTTCTAATTTGTCATAAGCAGGTAAATGTCAATGCCCCTTTCTTAATTTTTGGGAGGTTAGGATACCCCATGCATGAGCAAATACAAAGATCTCCATCCGCGCGTTCTCAAATTGTTCGCGACATTCGCGCGTTCGCCGGTAGCTATATATATACATGAATACATTTTTTGTGTTTTTTTTTGTACCCAAACATGCGAAGACACACTCTGGCGAGTGCGGGTACGGGCCTGTTGTTTGAATTTCGAACCTACACCTGCACATGCAGCTATACGAGAGAGTCCTAAAGTAAATTTGCACGTTTTCTCTACTTTTCATCAGAGAGTCCACGTGTATTTTTCTTTTCTCTGTATGGATATGCCTTCAAGCAACTTTCAATTGATACAATAATTTTCTTTGTCGTATGTTGTACCTTGTATTTACTCAACGTCGGGAGCTTTAAATACACACCTTGAGCGCCTCAACTACACGGATTACTAGGAAAATATAAAAAAAAAAACAATGTCGACCTTCCGCGTTTGATCGTAAAATCCCTTTGCGTAAGTTCTTACAATTGTTTACTTGCAGAGCACAACCATCCAAAAGTCTGAACAATGGCAACTGAAGTCGCGACTGACAGCAAAAACCAGCTCACACCCGAATCTTTCATCACCAAGGGTAAGACCTTTCTGGTGGTGCACGACTACTACAATGCCGTTGGCACGTTGGCTGAAGGTGTTCGCTTGCTCGTGGAAAAGTACAGCGACATGGCTGACGAGCTCGCAGAGCCCTACCTCTACTATGGACGAGCCTTGCTAGGTTTGGCACGCGAGGAACAGGCGGTCCTCGGTACAGGTGTTCCTGGTGTGCCGGAGCCTGAGGCTGAGGAAGAAGAGGAAGAGCCAGATGCAGCTGCTGCGGCCACTGCTGATGGCGAGGGAGAGCCCACCACGGCTTCTGATGCTCCAAAGTCCGATGAGTAAGTTTGGCTTATTTTTACTTCCATTATCCGTTGTGTATACAAATGATTTTTTTTTTTTTAATATTGCTAATGTTTCATTACTCAGGGCAAAGCCGGATGAACAAGAAGAAAAGAAGGATGAAGCTGAAAAAAGTGAGCCAAGCAATGACAAGGTAGAGGACAAAAACGAGGAAAAGCCTGAGGAAGCAGCCAAGGAAGACGAGAAGGTAACAAACGGCAATGCCTCAGCATCGACCTCGGCAAAGCAAAATGGGGATGCTCATGAAAACGGAGATGCGCAGATGGAAGAGGAAGAGGAAGATGCCGAAGAGGATGAGAACGAGGAGGAGGATGATGGCAGTACTAACTTACAAGTAAGTCTCTTTCACTTCTGCTCAGCACTACTTGTTGCATTTCCGGTATTTTCACGTTCATTCTGCTTCAGATTGCTTGGGAAGTCTTGGAATTATCGAAAGTGATCATTCAAAAGCGTGCCGAGTCTGCAGAAAGGACCAAGTTCCTAGCTGAAACTCATCGTCTTCTGGGCGAGGTAGCTCTCGAAAGTGGACACCAAGTCGGTGCAATCGGTGACTTATCCACTTGCCTTGATCTGATGCAAACCATCGATAAAATCACGTCGAGACAGCTTGCCGAGGTTTACTACCAGTTAGGTAAGAACAAATGTTTTTTTATGTTTTCTGAAAAAAGGTTTTACTTATACAATATTAAAATATTATCTTATGGGGTTCAATAATTTTTCAATGATTTTTGTTACAGGCCTGGCCTACTCGTTAGGTAATGAGTACAATTCGAGCATTGAGCACTTTGAAAAAGCTCTGAAACACCTGGACGAGCGCATCGACTACTTGAAAAGCCTCAAGGAAACACCAAAAGACGCAGACCCAAGTTTCAGTGCCGAGGAAGAGATTAAGGAGATCGAGGATCTAATTCCAGAGATTAAAGAAAAAATCGATGACATGAAAGACATGAAGCAACAGGCTTGCAAAGCCTTGCTCGATTCCATCAAAGACCTGAACGGTGAGGGTAGCTCTTCTAAAGGCGCTGGGCCAAGTGGCGCAAGCACCTCCTCTGATGCTGGTGCGTCCTCCGGTTCTTCTTCAGCTTCAGCTGATGCCAAGCCCGCCAGCGACATTTCTCATCTAGTCCGTAAAAAAAGGAAAAATGAGGATGGCGAGTCCGAAATGCAAGCTTCACCCTGCAAGAAACCATCTCCTGTTTCACCCGGCAAGTCTGCGTGAATACCTTTCCTTGTTTGTCATGATTTTTTTTCAATCGTTTCGTTTTTTTGTAAAAATTAGTCTCAATCCTCAGTGGCTAAAAAAATGTATCATGTTTATATTTTATTTTTTATTTATTCAAAAATTTCTTTGAACAATGATGACTGATTAAACAGACGACTGAAAAAAAAACAATCTGAAATTTTATTCTGAATATGACATAAAGTTTGTTAGTGTTAATTGTAAGACTTTATGGATTGTATTATTCCAATAGGTATTTTTGAATAACATTTAATTTTACTTTACAAACTCTCGTTAAAATATGATGCAAATATTGAAAGTGATTTATAAATTTTTTTTATCCTAAACACGGGCCAAGTATTTATAAAGTGTTAACACTTATACATATAAATAAGGAAAAAAAATGTTTTCTCACCATTAAATAATTCTTTTCATTCGATTTACATGACATCAAATGCTCATGTTTACCTTGCATTTAACTTAATCGTCTAGTTTAAGTCTTTGCGATATTACTTTAGTTATTATTGATAAAGAGATCAAGTAGTTATTTATTGCTTATTTATGCATACGTACTTCTTAATAGAAATACTGAACGATGTTTCTGTAATTAAATCAAACTTTTTTTCACCATTACTATTTTTGCTATTATATATTTACTAATTCTTTAATTGCAAAGACTCGGAAAGTTTTTTGTACCAATCAATGTCAATTATTTTGCGATTAAAATAAGGGAAGCGCCTAGTGTAAAATAGTTGTAATAAGGTCGATAAATAAGATAAATAAAGACAAAAAATTCTTCAACACACTAGCTTATTATTATTATCTGTACAGACACTCGAATGGACGGAATACATTTCAGGCAACCTATAGCAATTTTCCTGAACGAAAATTAATTACTCGCCGAGAAGTTCTTCTATATCGTCGTCGCGATCCGACGATTCTTGCTTTTTAATGGTGTATTTGTAGCCTAATTTTTCGAGTACACCAGTATTGTAGTAGAAGCTCAAATTGATACCTGGCACCAAGCGTCTCAGTTCTTCGATCGATGCTCGTGCTTTGTCGATATCTCCCATTTCCAAGTAATGCTCGGTTATTGACGCAAACAAGTCTCCTCGACGAATCGATTGTTCGAGTTTCTCGCCTTGAGAGTCGAGCAAAAAACGAACGTGGCTCATGGCCGATTCCGTTTCACCTTTCTCGAACAATCTGAAACACGAAAAAAGTCATTAAGAAAAATATGAAGCTTAATAAACCTGATGCAGAGAAAAAATTTACTTTTTAACTTCGAGGTATCTTCTTATCGTAGCCATGCGGCCATTAACAACATCGACGGCCCTCTTGTGTACTTCTTCGTCTCTGGGCTCCGTCACTTTAGCCAGACACTTGACAGCCTGATTCAGAGCATCGAGCGCCTTTCCATAGTTCTGAAACTCGTCTATCTCAACTTGCGCGCAAGCAACGTAAAAGTTCGCCAACAGATCCATAGCCTTGCCCTTTGAGTAAAAATTGATAATGTTTTTCAGTATTTCTGGCTGATTCTGCCAGTCGAGCGATTGTAGGTAGTTGCCCGCCATAATGTAGATCTCGCGCTGTCGAGACACCTGGGCGAAGAAACATATCTTGTCCGTATCGCCGGACTTCAGCAGAGCCTTCATAGCGCGCAATTTGTTGCCGGCTTGCGTGAATTTTTTGGTAGCCAGATGATAGTTGCCCTGGTTCAATGCTATCTCGCCGATTTTTTCGAGCGTCGCTATACGCACTCGTTCTTTTTCCAAATCCTTTTCGGCTTTGTCCAATCCCGTCATTTTATCCGCTGGTAAGACAAAGCGAACAAGTTAAACACAACCAATGAAAATGAAGTAGCAAATGAATTATTGAATGATCACCTAATTCTTCGGTCAAAACGACATCGTACTCGTGAATGAGTTCAAGGGCCTGCGCGTAATTTTTGCTTGTCGCCAGCAAATCCACGGCTCTGTCGACCTGTGAGTTCTGCACAAAGTACTCGGCACACTTGGCTATAAGCTCGGGATCCGAATCTGCGTTGATCTCCATTGCTATGGACTGTAGTTCATTGTACTGGCGAGACTCGAATGCAAGGTCCATGGCTTTTTTCAAAAGACCGGCTTTATGATACAGTAAAACCGCTTTGTCTTCCTTTAATCGAACGTAGATTATTTTCATGGTCACGTGTCAAATACGTCCTCAAACACAAAAGAAAAAAAACGAAAAACCTGCTCATTCTCCTCGTAATACTTGGCCACGTCGATCTGCGTTTGACTCGGCGCCATCATCGCCAGAGGCCACAGTTCCTCCAGCATGTCGTTCTCCTTGCACAATCTTACCGCGTGCCTGTAAGCCGTGGCCATGGTATAATAATGCACGGCTTGTGGCACATCGCCGCGCGACTCGTAATGCGCCGCTAAATGATAAGCAGAGGCTGCGTGTTGTGTTTTGTTGACCAAGTCGCGGGCCTCGGATTCGCGGCCAAGGAAGCAGAGCAAGCGCGTCATCGAGAGAGTATCACCGGCCTGTTCGTACAGCTTCAAGGCGCCCTCCATGTCGTTTAGCGACTCCGTGTATTGCGCGTGCCAGTTCTTTATCTCTCTGGGGGAAAAAAAGAGCAACTTTTACACCTCTCACGGATACGTTCGAGTGCTTGAGAGAGGGAACTTACGGATCGTCCGAGCTGTTCAAGTAGTTAAGGAGTTCCTTGGGCGAGCCGAGTAGCATTCTGGGCACCTCGAATCTGTGACAGTCTGCCTTGGTGTACATTTCGATAGCTTCGCTGGTTTTGCCCTCGAGTTCGAGGGCCCTGGCGTAATTGTAGCAGCTCGTCTTTTCCATGATTTTGTTCTCTTTGCTCGCGAGCTCGATGGCTTCCTTGAACTTGTTTCTCGCTTGTAGCATCGAGCCCAGCAGATCGAGCCTCTTTGCCTCTCTGAAGAGTCTCTCCGCGTCGTCCTGCAAAACAATACCTTTGTTAGAAATCACATTGACCCTTTGCGCAGGATCCTTACATAGAGTTTTAATTCGACTGCGAGAATGGCCGCTTTGGCTTCTAAATTCAGCGTGTCATCCTGCATGGCCTGTCGGAGCGCTCTGGCACTCGTCGCTTGTTTCATGTGTCCCAAGCACAGCATCGCCATGGACAATTGTTTCGTTTTCACGCACATCTTGGCCAGACTCTTCCACACTGCTTCGTTTTGAATTGACTTTATCGCCTGCCAAAGAGACAAAAAGATTCATTTATAAGAGTACAGGCGCGTTACTTGAAATTTTCTCACTTTGAAAGCTTCATCCATGTTGGCAACGCTGAGGTAAAAACAAAAATCGAGTACGGCTTTTTTGGTAACGGCGTCGCAAGCGCCGAGTTCCTCGAATTCTCTCATGAGCAGCCGCTCGGTTTTAATGCTATCAGCTACGTTCTCCGAGTCCAGAACGACAATGTAGGGTGACTGGACGCCAAGGAGACGGCAATCGTCGTCCTTGACGGGCCGCACGTCCTGTACAACGATACCGTGCTCCGATGTGGCAAATATCGTCACCAAAACAACGTTCGACTGTTGAGGAAAGATTGCCGAATTGAAAACTTGCTGGATAATGTTTTTCAAGCTTGCGGGCGCTTACTTCGTCTTTCGACGGCTCGGTCGATGCTTTCGCGCTGATGCTCTCCGGTCTCTGAGCTCGACAGACCAGTAGCCTCGGGTCGTCGCTGTCCCAGCAGTGGGCCGTCACTAATCTGTTCTTGCACTTGGCCACCCTGAAACGCGTTATCTCATAATCCTCTACTGTTGAATTTGTCCGCTAAAGCCAATAGAAAATGGTGCAACTTACAGAACAGAATCATCATCTGCTTCTTTGTTGTCGGCAAAGTCAAATTCGTGAATCTGATCGCTTTCAATGTCCCAAACGTAGAGAATGGAGCTCGGCAAGAGATTGGCCATGGCCACGGTAATGGAAACGTACCGGCAATCCGAGTTGCAACGAGCTTCGATAATCTCGGCAAAGTCGCTGATGGCTTCGTAAGCGGTCATAGCTCGGGTGTATAGTTTTGCCTCCCGTTTGCTTACATCCCAGATTTTGAGGATACCGTTGAGCGAGCCCACGGTCAGGTAGTTACCGGTCAACTCCATCGTGATCGGTTCACCCTCTTCCGGTAGCGTTGGTAGCTTTTGGATTATCGAGCCATCTTCGATTGATCTCAGCTGAATGACCTGCAAAAAAGCTATGCCATTATTTTTTCCTCGTCTCTTTTTTTTTTTTGTAACTAAATTTCTTGCCTGTGGCGTCAAAACGATCAATGTAGAATCGTGGATAAGGAGCTTTTCGGTATCGCAACTGAAGCTCATCAGAACCGTCGTACTGGGCTGGCCATTGTTGCCGATTTTGTAAACGGCGTTATTTCTTCCGGAAGATACCGCAATGTAGCTCTTGTTGGCCGCAACTACTTGCACTTGAATATCCGTTTTTAAAGTGAACTTTCGATCTCCTGAGCAAAAAAAAAAAAAAAAAAAAAAAAACCCACGCGAATCAGTACTAAAAAATTACTACCTCGTAGAAATGTACAAATTTATAAGGTAAAGGATCCAACCATCGATATCAACGAGCAACTGCGTAGGACTCGACTGACTGACACAAACACCGTCCGCGTAAGCCGCGCACATCGGTTGCTGATGTAAAACGTAAACGTTTGTCACGCAATTAACGGCCAGCAAAGGGTTTCGGAGCAACAAGGCACCCCAAGTTATTTGCTTCACGGTACCGGATATGGAGCAGGAGTCTGGCACCGAAGACCAAGTATGTTCATCACCCTCTAGTCCTCGAACTTTTCTCTTCCATAAGTATATCGTGCCCAAGTTCGTACCTGCCGCCAGAGTATCTGAAAATAACAATTTTTGATAATTAAAAATACCACCTTATGTACTTAAGTGATCGCGACGACAAGTACCATTATTTTTGCAGTAAGACAAACTAGTACACACTTCCTGAGGAGTAGCCAAATTTCCAGAGGATACCACGTCCGTGGGGGCAAGGACGTAAGTGTCACCAGTCTGAAGGTCCCACATTCTGACAATCAGTTCTCCAGTCAAAATAGCCAGTGTGTTGACACCAGCCCAGCACAAGGATGGTCCGTTTTTGGTCATGTCGCTTCTACCACTGAGCTTCACCTATAAAAATTAATAATACCGATTATTGCAAATGGCCCGTTGAATCAAGTATAGAAAACAACAATATTGATGATTGCCGTACTTTGGTCAGCTCTGTCAGACGGCCAGTGACGGGATCCGATTTAAAGTGTCCAATGTGCAAGCCCTCACTCATCACAACGATGGAATCCCTGGTCTGATGATGCAGCAGGCAGTGCAGAGCAGAAGCATCCATAGTCAGCATTTGCACGCACTGCCCGGTACTATCCACGTAATAGATGACACCGTTTACAGTACCCACGTAAAACGCAGGATTGTCCCTCTGCACGGGAACAGCAGTTGGAGCAGCAGTTCTTGGTCTCCAGGAGCTAAAGAGATCCAGCGCCCTCGCGTCCCCTGCGACTGCCGCCTTGGCCAATCCCCTTAAAAAAAAAAAAAAAAAAAAAACATGCAACGTCAAGAAGGTGAATAAATGAAAAGAGCAAATAAATGCGTCACATCGTACGTCATGTCAACAACAGGCTTGGGCGGAGTGATTTTGAAGGCAATGTGAGTCAAGGACTGTTTCAACTCGTGATGAAACATCATGAGCAGCTGACCCCTGGTGTCTAGTTTCCAGCCGACCATGGAACCCGTCACATCCGCAGAGACCAAACGACCCCCATACTGGCTCCACTGTAGTATAGTCACAGCATCCCTGTGAGGAGTGACAATAATGTTGAACTCACCGCTGCCGGTATCCCCCGGCCATATCTGAACAAACAACGCAATAAGCTCTCCATGCCACATCGAAAAAGCTAGGCATGGTACTTATAATATGGACTCACCCTGAGTTCTCCGCTCTCCCATGTGGCAGCCAGCCACTTTCTTTCGGGATGCCAAGCTAGAGCTGTCACCTGAGCTACGGTGTGCCCCGAAGTCTCTACATCAGGCAGGGGCTCACCCTGGTCGTCGTAAACCGTCACGAAACCACCTCGTTCCTGGGAATAAGCCGCCACTGCTAGTAGAGGAAGATTCGAGTGCCAGGTCGCGTAGGTGTTCACAGCACCGGGCTCCGGGCACTTGACCTTTGTGTCAAAGTACAGTGACATGTTTCTCGTTTAATCTGGTATTTTGGAAAAATTCACATCTTGAAATCGCACTCTGGTTTCTTTTTTTTTTTTTTTTTCACTTTTCCAAGCACACTTGATGATGAGCTTGCAGCAGATGTGTAGCTTGCACCAGCTATGTTGTTGTGATCCATGGGTAACGATAACAACCAGAGTTTGTGTGTCAAAACGACTTAAAAATCGGTCGCACGCGCAATATATACATGTATACACTATATATATATAGTAGCGGACGGTTTTCCTTCAGTTCAGTATCAGTAATCCAAAACAAACAGCCGACAGTGGGCAAACATGGCGTCGACCGAGCAGGTCGGCTTAAACAAAACGTGGGAGTTGTCGTTGTACGAGCTCCACAGGGCGCCCCAGGAGGCGATAACCGACAATACCGAGATAGCCGTCAGTCCCCGGAGCTTGCACAGCGAGCTCATGTGTCCAATATGCCTGGACATGCTCAAAAAAACCATGACCACGAAAGAGTGCCTCCATCGGTTCTGCAACGACTGTATCATCACGGCCCTCAGGAGCGGCAACAAGGTGCTTTATTTGTTTGTTTCGCTTCACTTTTACCCTCGTAAAATTCTCATAATTTGAGGCTGGACGAGCTCTTAGGACGCTACGTTTTGAGGTTAACTGGGCCAACTAGCTAAATCGCCCTCTCTCTCTCTCTCTCTTGCTCCAGTTTTGTTTACTGGCGTGCGGCGCAATCTGTTGTGATCGTTGTTTATTTTTGGCTATTTACACATCTTTCCAACTGCGTATTCATACCAAATCATGATTTTTTCAAACATTTGTTTGTTTGTAGGAGTGTCCAACGTGCAGGAAGAAACTGGTGTCAAAACGTTCTTTGAGGCCAGATCCAAACTTTGACCTGTTGATCTCGAAGATCTACCCGAGCCGTGACGAGTACGAGGCTCACCAGGAGAGGGTGCTTGCAAAACTGAACAATTCACATTCGCAAGCAGCTCTGGTCAATTCGATCACGGAGGGCATAAAGTTACAAAACCAAAATAGGCCTCAGCGAGCAAGGAAAAATGCCAACGACTCCGACAATCTCAACAACACGGCCTCGTACAATAACACACCGAATGTTAGTGCACCAACTACTCCGAATCCAGCTGTTGTGGCAGCTAATCAGAGCGACTCGTCTCAAGGTCCTATTGGACAGTCGAGCAACGGGGGAATCAGGGAAAACCATTCAACTAATGGTGTACCACCACAGCCTTCCGTCAGTCCTGCAGTATCAGGTGCTAATTCTGTTTAGTTGGTATTTTGATTTTGATTTTTTCAGTTTCATTCAATATTTCTTTTATTTTTAACATCAGGTACAACGTCCAGGAATTCGACGACACCATCTCCTGTGCCGTCAAATCCCAAAAAGAGGCAAAAGAGTGTTCAAAACTCGGAAAACGATTCATCAAGTGCAGAGGCCGAGACGGGTGGAAATGAGTCCATGGGAGATACCGAGGGCGAGGGATCTAGTGAGCCTTTGATGCTCAATGAGATTGAACTGGTGTTTAAGCCTCATCCCACAGAAATGGCTGGTGATAATTCTCTAATAAAGGCGCTCAAAGAAAATAGTATTAGGTACATCAAGACAACGGCAAATGCTACAGGTAAACTTTTTTTCAAGCACTTGGTATGTATTTCAAAGGGTGACCTCGTCTTGACGACTTTTTTTTTTTTTTTTTAATTTTTTAGTGGACCACTTGAGCAAGTATTTGGCAATGCGATTAACGTTGGATCTCGATACAGACTTGCTTTCCGAGTCTGACAGGCTACTGAACTTTTGTATTTACATTGCACCAACTCCGGGCCAATTGGTCGTCCTAAGCGGCTCACAAACACTTCGGCAAGTAAATGAAAAATTTTGGAAGGTGAATCGACCATTAGAAATGTACTATTCATGGAAGAAGACCTAGGGAAGGGCTCGTAAGTCAACAGACAGCGGTTAGACGTACCCTGCAATATATTCGATTAAAACCCCTGTAGTTGTGTGTTGTACCATGTTGTGAGAAAAAACATTGATTTAGTTTTCAAGCTAAGACTGTTGAATATTTTTAGTTGTCGAAATCGCTAAAAAAGTAAAAAAAAAAAAAAAAAACTTTATATTACTTTTACAACGAGAGATATCAGATTTCTTTTTTGGGGGTATTTATAACAAAACATAAAAAAATACAAAAAAAATATTTTAAGTTATTTCAAGTTTAAAGTTTCATTCAACAGTTTATGGCTTGACTCTTTGTTTCTTTTTTACTTTCGTTGATTGGGCAGGTGTTTATCATAAAAATCATACTTTGAGTTCCGTAGCGTCCGCTGCAAACGGACTCCAAAGTAATCATTATATATATATATATATATATATTTTAAACCACAGCAGAATTTCAGTGAGAAAAAGGTTTTTTAGAATCAAGTATTGAAATATTTTATTGTAAATAGAAAATTCTAAAAAATGCTGCTTAATGAATTTACTTGAACGAACAATCATGTCTCGTTTATTTCGAAATCAACATTATAACATAATGTAGAGTGATTTATATAACGTGTGTATTTTTTCTATTTAAATGAATTGCGAGCATAAAACTGATTGGAAATACAATATATCTTCCACTCAGGTCTTATCGCGCCCCGTAATCTAATTTTACTTTTACTATTTTTTTCATTTTTAATATCTTTTATTTACTGAATCATGTCGTAAAATTCTCCGAAAATTCCAGAATTTCGTTTTATCAAGAAATAATCAATTTAAAAAATCATATATATTAATTTTTTAAGTTTGTATCATTGAGTTGTAATTAAGTCATACTGTAAAAAGGATTTTATTATTTTGTTTTTAAAAATAAACATTAAAATCGTTCAAGCGATAATTTTCGTACAGCTTTATTTTTTCCACCCTCTTGCCCTTGTTTAAACAACACTTATATACACAGATATCTAAATAAAAAAATAGAGCTTATGTGATTAAGTTATTGAAGTTGTACTTTGTGTATAAGGCGTGCTGTGCGTGAAAGTAAATCGATGATTTCGGAATTTTCACCTTCAAAACGTACGAAACGGGGAAAAAAGTGATTCTTCAAGAGATTCGTTAACAACCAGGTTTTCAGTCTTACCTAGGCACAACGCACGAGGACAAAATAAATTGCGCCGATTGAAAGGGCGATGTAACTTTTTGTTCAAGTCCCATAAGCTGAAAGAAAATCTTAAGTAAAAAATCTAAGAAAAATATATCATAAAAAAAAAATTTTTTTTTCAGCTTCATTGGTTCAAAGACTACAGTTTTCTTGTACGTATTTCATGAATTTCATGCACATGCAGTTTCTTTTTTTTTCTTGACGATCGCAACAGGAAGATTTTTGTTGTTGTATTTTCTTTATTTTATTATTCTACCAAAAATTTATAACTACATTTTTACTCAAGATTACAACTCGTGCTGCTCATATATTTTAACTTTCAATAGTAATCAATTTCATAACGTAAAATACTCTTTAACTCGTATCAAAAACTTTTATAATTTCTTTTTTTCACATCTCAATTTTGCTTCGGTATAAATTTTTGAAATTATTGCACACTACACGTCCCATCACTTGTTTCACTTTGTTTTATCTGTCCCCTGTTTTTTTTTATTTTTATTTTTTTTTTTTATTTCTCTTCACATGTTACTCATAGATTTTTCGAAACAATTTTCCCACTATTGACTCAAAATTAATCCCTCTCTTGTTACATTAATCTTTATTTTCAGTCACACACACATTTGATTTCTCTTTTGTTACTCTACTTCTTTATTTTCTCCTCTGAATCGCCGTTCCCATTGACCTTGGCTTTCTCCCCTCGATCTCCATTCATTTTCTTCCTATAAACGTCAATCATCAGTTTCCGCTTCATCTCCATCTTCCGCACAATCAAGTCCATGTCTTCCTTCCCCTTCATCTCCCTTAGCCCCTTTTTCTCCATCCACTCCTCGATCTCCTTCCCACTTTCGTCCAATTTTTTGCTTTTCTCTTTGCTCGCTCTCACCATGTCCTCCGCTTCCATCATCGTCGACTGCATTTTCTCGGAAAACTTTGCTAAATTTTCATTGATCCCACGCAGCAGGTCCTTCACTTCCTTCCCCAACTCTTCGTCGGCCATTACAAGCTTTCCTTGCCTACTTTTTGAATTACACCTTAATTTGTTGTGTCGGTTTGCACAATCGGTTCAACCGGTTTTCGTAAAATTATCTTAAAAAATCACCTGGTGAACTCGAAACAACTTGGACTCGCAAGAAAACAATGCGTCCACATTTTCCGGACTCTTTCCGTACGTACACTTATACCTACGATTATATTTCGTTTCGTTGCGTCTTATCGTGTTACAATAGTCCAAAGTTGCCCGAAAAAGCTATTATGTTTTCAACTCGTACTTATACACGTTACGCGATAAAGGTACTTTCAAATAATTTCCAAGTACCTCTGAATCGTAAATGTAAATACGAGCGAGTTTTGAGCACAACAACTGCATGCAATCGGAATCTCGCTGAAGTTTTTAAGCAGCCGTAACTCTGTCCTCTAATATATATTTTATCAATTTCGAGTACAATAAAAAGAAAAACCAAAAAAAAAAAAAAAAAATATGTATCAAGTAAACGTTTTTATAAATGCAAACGAATAAATATACATTCGGTTAAAATAAATATTCACACGAATCGAGTAATAATATTAATTTTAATTGAACCAATTTAAATATTAATATATTTGATTGATTTTAATTCGAAGAAACATTCATTTGAATCGACAAAATAATAACGATTTTGACATACAAGCACCCTTTTTTCTGATTTTTCTGGATGAAAAAAAAAAAAAACAAAAAACACGCATATCACGTGTACGTACGCATTGTGCAACTCGTGGTGTAGACGACCAAGTTCGTTGCACCTGATGTGCGGTAAGCATCTCTCGGTAGGTATATTACACTGTACAAATGGGTACAACCGATCTCGCAGATGCACGGCTTATAAACAAACGATAATCGCTTCGAGAGGCATATAGACCCATGTATAGATATTTTATAATGGGAGAGGCGAACCGGCCGCATCTTTAACGGCGCGTCGTTTTCATGCGTTTTGATATCGGAATTTCGAACGCGGCTGTACTCCGTCGATTTTTGTATACGGCTGTGGAATCTCGTATAGCTGGAGGTTGTTTTTTTTTTTTTTTTTTTCTGCGGGAGCAAAGAGGAGGTAGACGCGATTCTTTATTTTACCCCCGACGCGCGCCGAGCTTGTAAATGATTACGTTTAATGACCTTTGATTCCAGCCGGGGAGGAGATTATCCTTTTCCCCCTCGATCCAGCGGGTATTACGTACGGCTTTAAAACGCGTATACGTTTCATGGTGCAAGTGAAAAAACATTTTTTTTTTTCATCTAATTATTTTACGACTGTGATCACAATATATTTGTGAGGTGAAAATTTTGTTTTTTGGTAATGAAGCATACGACAACGGTGCTCCTATTTTCATCAGCGCGAGCGGCATCCAATGCACACAACTATTTTCATCGAATAAATACCACAATGTATTTTATGATTATTTTTATGCGTCCAAATCAACGTACATTTTGTGCACATCGCATAATAATTGAATATTGTATGGGCGAACAAAAACTCCTCTAATTTTGGCACAAAAATACTGTGCACTGGGCATTGTATGCCGCACAAGTGGTTGGGGGTAGTTGATTTTTTTTTTCCCCGATAATCTAACATCGGCGAGGTGGAAAAACATAAATTTGGTTGTTTTTTTTTTTCCATTAAAGTGAGACTATGGTACTTGTTCCTGTATCCCTAGGGTTATTCATTAGTATATGTATATATATATTATAGTGGAAGTTGATTCATAATCTCTTGTTTCGACGCAGTTGTGTTTTTGTTTCTATTATGAAAAAGGTCGATTGCGTGTATCAGAGATTAATTGTTTTTTTTCCTTACACATTCCAACGACAAGGCAATCGCGCCATTCGCCCAAATTTCCGGTGAAACGAGACAAACCACCCCCCAATATCCAAGTCACTGCAGCACCCCCCCTCGCATCCACGGAGACCGCAAGGGGGGGGGGGAGGAAAAAAAAACCCACTTGTCCCCAAGCTCCTCGCCGAAAAATAAAACCTCCCGCGCAGCTCGGAATATCTCCGTTGGTATTCACCGCAAGGAAATTCATTATTTGCAATTACGCTCCAACTACCTCACAAAGGACTCCCATTACGCTCGTGTATACGTATACAGTGAGGGAGGAGAGAGGATATATTATATATATATATATACGTCTTTGGCATAAAACGACGTCCAAGACGAGGGAGGGGTGGGGGGAAGAAATATATGTATATATATGCCTACAAAGTCGGGAAAGTTTAAGCGCGCGTCTCCTTGTGTATATTTATACTGCGGGTGTATGTATGTACATCTTCCTCCCGGGTGGGTGTATCGGGTTACACCGGCTTGGGAGCCTCTTTTTCGGATGTACGGGGGGCTCTCGGTGGGGTGCAAATAACGCAGCGCACGACACGGAAAAGGAAGCCAAAGGAGCGACACACTCGCCCGAGGGGGATGCCAGATTCGCGTGGAGCGAGGGAAACTTGATCAATTCCTCCCGATGCCGGTGTATATATAGCTCGGGGTTTTTTTTTTTTTTTTTTTTTCCTCCCATCGAAAACTTTCGCGACTACGACAAAATTAAAAATGTGTGTACAAGGGCACCTCTCGCGAGGGGGGGGGGGAGAAAACTTCAAAGGGTAGAATATTAAGGATCAACAGTTTTTTTGTAACTCCATAAGACATTAGCTCGAGCTTTTTCATTATAATTATTTGTCAAGGAAGTTTAAAGTATACATGTTAAGGAGTTGTTGTTTATTTAATTGATTTTATCTTTATTTATATGCATAACAGTGTATATATATATATTTGTATTAAATCAAGTGAAGAACGACTCGTTATACGTATGTTTTCCTTGCAACAATTCGTTTGAATAAACCTTCACAAGGTTAACACCAACGCCATTTGTATAAAGATCTTTTTCTCTTATTTATCGCTGACACGTACAAACACATGTTTCACACCACAGGCTCGAAATTAATTTTGCATGTATATCCTGTACGTGAGAGGAAAAAAAAAAAACAGAAAAGTGTATCCCTTTGGCATTCGAATAAATGTCTTATATGATTTTAATTGATGATTAATTTGCGAGTAGTGTCCCTCTCCCTCCTCCCCCCCCCCCTGTTTCTTTATCGAGGTAATAATATATTATATACGTTTGGCGCGCCATGGCAAATTGCCCGTGTTTTTTCAACGCATAACTCGACGAGACGCTATGCGCACTTGATTACCTCGTTCGACGGCAATTTCCCTCTCGCACTTTTTTCTCTTTTTTCTATTTTTACAAAACACAATGTATATAAATATATACATCTCCTCGGTCGAGTAATTATACCCACCCCCCGATGTACGGGTACGAATATATATAATTATATTGTAATCACCGCGTACTGTGTGTCTCTCCCGCCGTGGCGTGGGGGGGGGGAGGTGCACCGGGAAAATTCGATATTCTATTTTCACCAACAAAAACCACCCGTTTATCATATACGTATGAAATTCAGGGCGCTCGCAACACATACGGTAAAATAATCACGCGAGCTTTGGTGCTGGGGCATCTTCGAAACGAACGCTGTGTTAATTAATCGTAACAATCATTGAGGAGTTATGTAAATCCATATGATCTCCGTCTTTCTATCGATACAGCTATTTCTTTTTTTTTTTTTTTTCACCCTCGTCCTTACTCTCTCGCGTGCGCGCACGATGTATACTTGGTATATATATATATATTTCGTTAAGTACGCGCCAAGTGCTTCAGCCTTGAATAAATTTTCACCTTTGGAAAAAGGCGCTTTTTTAAAATAACACGCCTTACGTATACCCTGGAATAACATACATATATAGTAACGTAAAATTGTACGGTTACCTTTACTCGGGATGAGTTAGCGCGATTGACACGTTCCAACCCATCACGGCAAAAATGAGCCTTCACGAGTCCACATATAATATAGAAAAGCTCGATTGGTCATTTCCGTTTTATTTTCCGATAAATTTGTGCCGCCGCGAGTTCTCCGTATACACACCGTACAAACTCTCTATACCGTTCTCTCTTTGTCGTTTCCTCCTCCGCGAGGGAGCTTTCGACCGACCGGTGTGTTCAGTCTTCCACGCGCTCTCGCACCGCGCAGTCGTGTGCATCGCCTTCCCGCGGAGGATATATATATATATATATACCAACCGGCTTCTTCCCTCGCGTCTCTTCTCACTCGTTTCGTAAAATCGACCTTTTTTGTTTTTTTTGTTTTTGGCCAACTTTTATACACCGCTGGCCGTTACTCGGGTACATTTGTATACACGTTCTGGAGTTTTCGGGGCCTGGACCGGGTCGATCGCTTGCCACTTCCAAACTCAAAAGGATGACGTGCTCGGCGCTCAGGTGAGTCATTTTTGTTTTTTTTAATTCCAATTCCCACAGCCGTAGGTTTTGGCTCGATTGCCACCCGCGAAACACGCCAACCCCCACGCCACGGCGTTCGAATCCCTGACATTTCAAGGGTATATACACACAGTTGGGATGAGCCTTCTTCTTCCACCAAACCGACGTGAAAAGAAAAAAAAGTATCTAAGAGGGCTGTAGGTCTATATAATAAGGCCCGGTTTTTTTTTTTAGTACTTTATAGATAGAAAAAAGAAACAAGAAGAAAAAAGGTGACTCGAGCGCGTGCAATGTAAATAAATTACCCGCTCATCCCCGGTGCGCCGAGTGTATCATTACGCGTATACATATACGGCCCTCCGCCGCACATTAATTACAACGCTTAACTCTAATTGCTTAATGGCACACACACACACACACAGAGATATCGGAGCCCGATGAAAAAATTAATTTTATTGATCGCACGCTTCATGTATAAATCGAACAATTCGAGCGAGGAGGCAAAGGGGGGGGGGAAATGTAATATTAATCGCGAGTGACAATGTTACAGGTACTCACACACGGCTCGTTACATGTTAGGGTATATAAATGTATGAAAAACCCCGCGAGCTCGGCTACTTATGTTACCCACGTACACACGGCTGTCGCGAACGTAATAATAATACGTATTACGCGTTCTCGCGGTGATTCGAGTAAACGGTTAAATTGCCGGTATTATTATATGTTATTGAAACGGCCCGCGGGAGAAACGAGACGCCCGGAAAAAAAAAAACGGAGATTCCCTCTTGCGCTCCTCGAACGAGGCATCGTCTGACAAGTAATTTCGTGCGGCAAAACGGGGGTAAGGGGGGAAAAAAAAAAAAGTGCGCGTTCTTAACTGAAAACGTTCCTCGTTGCTTCGATTATTAAGTAATTACATTACCAATATACGCACGGCCGAGGGGGTTGATTTTCCTAGTTAATAAACATTGGCCGGCCTGGAGCTAACGAATGGGGAAAAACAACAACAAGGGTTATACGTTGCCAGGAGGAGAATGGGAGTTAAAGGCGTCGATAAACGAGCCGTCACTGCGTGCGCTCCTCTTTGGTCTTGGCGATTATAAAACGATGTATACATGTATACGTGTATGTGTGCACGGGTGGAGAGGAAACAAAAGGAAAAGAGAGAAGCTAGATTGGTCGTGGGTACGAATTAATTGAAAACCACTGCGTATACGCGCGCAGGTTCCTCTCCCTCTCGCGTCTAATCCATAAGCTTCTTCTTCTTTTTTTTTTTTTTTTTTTTTTTTTTTCATACGTACATAACTGTATTTATTGCTCTTGTATACGAGCACGAGACGAGAGCGCGAAATAGCGAAACGTTGAAATGTATACATTCGAGTGCAACGAGTGGGGTTTTAGGTAGATAAGGATGAGTCCCCGATTAACAAGCTGATGGTGGTGGTACATAGCTCGCTTTGCTACCTTTTTTTTTTTTTTTTTTTTTCAAGGACGCAGGATATGCTTTCTAACTTTTCACTTTACAGTAGCCCACGATGGTTTTTGGGAAGAAGAAGCAATTTAATTGGAGCTTAACAAGATACAAATTTGCACACTGCACGCACGCCTCTCCCATTTTCTCTCCACCCCACCCCAAATGTACACACACAGCAGCTCTCTCGATCCGCCCTGTTTGGCGGCTGTACCGGCTTAAGTCCTTTTTCTTTTCTTTTTTTTTTTTTTTTTACTCCTCTGCCCCCTCTACCACCTCCTTGTTTCCGAGACGCGCGCCAACTGGTGTATGTCTCTAAACTACGCCCGAGCACGCCAAAACTCAACTTTGTTTTGCACCCCAAACTGCTCAGGGGGAGGGGGGGGTATATACATATATATATAGAGACTCGATTACTGAATACAGGACTCGCTTCTCTCTGATTACGTATAAGTACACTTGTTGTATTGTTTACGGAAGGGGCGCTCGCGTACATTGTATCGTCGCTAAACAAACTGAAATTTCGCCGTGTACGTAATATTCAGGGGTGTATAGGGCTTTGAGGGGAGGGCCGGTTAATTTGGAGTTTTGGTGGGTATTTTGCGCATAATATCCAGGCTTCTCGTGAAAATGACAATCCAGCGAAAAGTATAGGTTTTTTTTTTTTTTTTTATATTATAGTGCTGTACGTCCGGCTCCTATAAAGTGCACTACTATGGGCACTTAGCACTTGGGAAAGGGATGGGAGGCCCCCCATTACTGGGAGGGGGGAAATTAGGTAATTTTTGCTGCGAGAAGGTCGCCCAAAACCCTCCTCGAGGAGCATTGCGTAGTGAAAAAGCACATGTGATAATACACAGAGGTAACAAGTATAGGTATGTATAAAGCCGTATACAAGGAATTAACGGTGACGGCGACGTTATTCCCACACACGAGGCTCGCTTGTGTACCCATTTCCGAGTATTTCTCCGACGAAGGAGGAACACGCCAATGAATCGTAACGAAAAAAAATTCCGCGCTTTCATACACATGAGCGCGACACACGTACAAAAGGTATACCAAAGACCCATTCGGGGGGGGGGGGGGTCCCATATACGCGCAGAGTCGCACCCTCGTCCCTCTTCTTCCTTCTCGATCTTTCTCCCCGTTATCTCTCGTCGCGCCTCCTCCTTTCATATAATATACTATACGCACGGCCAGCGTGTGTGCGCAGCTCGTCCTTATACATACCTAGGATATTTAATTATATATAAATGTCCATCCTCTCTCGCTCGTTTGGCTCCCGACCAAATGTGTCGCAAATACGTGTACCTATACATATACCCCCTTTACCGATCCATCGGGTCACGGTGCAGTGTATGTTGTTTTCTTTACTACCTCCCGAATAAATATATGGGTATTCGCTCGTAAACGGGATTATTTTCTTTTGTAGGAGTAGATGGGCAGGGGGGGGGGAGGAATTTTAATGTTTTTCATGTATAGGGTGATCGGACGAGGTGGATCGACGATGATGGCTGTTTTTTCCTTTTTCCAACGATAAAACGCTCTCTGTGTGTACCGTAGGGTGGAAATTCCTGAAACTCCTGGAAAAAAGAGTATAGACGCCAAACGAAGAGCCTTTCACGCGCATGATTTCCCATGCAGGTACTTTTATCGCGTACACTACCCCCCCCCCCTTCGTTTTCCGTTCTCTGACATAACGCGCGTAATACCTTCCCTTCCCCCCTATAAACCACCGCATAGTACGTAAGTAGTCATACCTACTTGTATGTAATGTGTATATACTTATGTACGTGTATGTTCACATAGCGCGCGGGGCACCGTTATGCAATGCTCACGACATCAAGACGATGGGGAATCGCGCGCGGCGCGATCATCATCTCTCTCCCACATCCTCTACCTATGTATAGGTATATACAGAAATACATCTGCGTTAGAGATTAGCCATGTATATACATACAGCTCGCGACGCTCATTCAAAGAGATTCTTCTTTCCTTTCCACGTATACGTTATTATTATATGTGTTTTGTATGTTTGTTTTTATATTTATGTCGTGTGATGGGTACTTTTTTTTTTTTTTTTTTTTTTTTTTTTTTTTTTTCACCAAGTGCGTAATATCATCATCATAATGATGGGGCGCTGCTCGTGAGAAGATTTTAATCGTCTCGATTTCGCGCTTTGCTCTGTATCCCCCCCGCGCACTCGCTCGTGTGGGCGTATCGTTGCTCCTGCATAACGCGTTTCGAGGTGGACGGTCTCGAGTTTTGCCACTTCCTCCTCCTCTTCGTGTTTTTTTTTTTTTTTTTTTTAATTTTTTAGTGGACCACTTGAGCAAGTATTTGGCAATGCGATTAACGTTGGATCTCGATACAGACTTGCTTTCCNTAAAAGACGAGCCGCGACTCGGTGCGGACTAACTTTTTTTTTTTCTTCCTTCTCTCTTAAACGTTCCGTGACTCGATTATTTTTTTTTTTTTTTTTTTTTTTTGTGCTCTATGCGCGCGCGTGTGGAATAACCAAAAGGGTTTCAAGCGCTCTAATATTTTATCTCTCATCCTTTTGCATGTATGCCAATCCTGTGCAAGGTAATTTTTTTCAATAAATGACCAATGGCGTGGTTGGCGTGGAAAATTTATTTTACTTAAGTTTCGTCGATTTCAAACATTAAAATGAAGTATAGATATGTATTGCGGACATAAACTCGATTTTCCTTACAATAATAATTACTACTGTGAGTAGTTTATTATTTAGTTTCCAATTTATTGAATCATAACATTTTTCATTATTGTTCGAATGATCCTGTCCTGGATGACCTGGATCGTAGACTTGGGCACAATTATTTTATAGATTTTCAAAACACCTTACAACAAAATTTTATTCCTGTACAAAGGACATTTCTGTTTTTTTTTTTTTTTTTTGCTGAACAACAGTAAGTATCAGTAAAAAAATAGATTTTTCTTAACATAAATAATGCATGAAATTTGTATAATTATACCTTATATATCTGAAAATGTCTGACCGTCCAAGCACCAGTGAGTACAATCTTGTATGCAGAATTTTTTTTATACAACTTAACATATCTTTTGTCACACGATAACTTAAAACGTACTAATTAAAAAAATTCAATATGTTGATTCTTGTCGAAAACTCATACTTTCACAGTACGATGAGCGCGCTCCTTCGCTGTTTCCCATCACTTATCAAGCGGCAAAACGAAAGTGTGCTTGTTACCCAAGAAACCCTCCAGCGCGGACTCGTCGCGTTAAATTTCCATTTTATCGTGCTGAAGAGATATACAGGAAAATGAAAGAATACCAGATAAGTGTGCCGGGACAATCGTGGGAATGAGCGAACGACAACGGTGTATACGTAACACGGAAGACGAGCGGAATAAAAATAATCCCCAACAATCCTATGAGAGAATGAGCCTTTTCTCACTTTCTCAAGCGCGCGGTACTCGCGTTTTTCTCTCCCCCCCCCCCCCATGTTTTTTTGTGCAACCCGTCGTTAACGATAAAACCAACAGTT